TTAATATTAAAATTAATATTAAATTTTATTTTTTATATATATTTATATTAAAAAATATTTTTAATATATACTTTAAAAAAAACAAATTAGAAAAACTTTTAATTTAGAACTTCTCTCACTAAAAAATTTAGACTAGGATTTACTTAAATGTGAAAAGTGTTTTTTTCGAGAATAATCCCTCGGGTTGCAGGTACTCCGATCAGGCTGGAGTGAATTCTGAGGGGCCCGACCGAAATTGTCACTGCAGTAACACTAATATTGCCAAAATTTTCAAATAAAAAAAATGGTAAAAACACAATAGATTTTGATTTATGTTTTCCAAAATTTCCGCCAAATCTGGTATTAACTTTCTGTACTGAGGTTTTGAGGACTGTGATTTTTGTCATATACAAAAATATTATGACCATATAAATTTAGTTTTTTATTTTTAAAAATTTAAACAATTGATTATAATGTTTAACAATATTAATTTATAAATTAATTTTAATAATTAATTATTAATTAATAATTACATCTATTCATTATTTTTAATAATTAAATTAAATAAAACTATTATTTTTAAATACAATATTAAGAAATTTATAATATTTTTATTTATAACAATAACCATGCCTCGCCACTATTTAACGAGTAATTTTGTTTGGTTATTCATTTTCCTTAATTCAGTATGGTGTGGACTTCGTATGATTCTGGGTCAACTATTTATTCTTACATATAAATCACAACAACCCTCATTAATTATGCTTGCAATTGTCAGTTGCTAAGTTAGGAACATAGGATTGGAGTTTTACATAGATTGTACTATTTTTTGCTTCTTTTCTTCTTTTAGAAATGTTAATGTTTGCAAGGTTTTTCCTCAAAGGCCATACAAAATACTTTGTATTATTTTAGATCAATTATTTACTCTTACATATAAATAACAACCATCATTAATTTTACCTGTGATTGCCAAAAGTTAGGTATCATAATTGAGATTTCACATAGATTGTACTATTTTTTGGCAATTTTTTTTTTTTTTTTTCAAGAATGGCTAATCTTGCATGGTCTTTTTCCTAAGGTCACACATAACACTTTGTATTATTTGGGATCAACTATTTACTCTTACATATAAATCACAACCATTATTAATTATAATTGTGATTGCCAAAAGTTAGGTACCATATTTGGGATTTCAAATAGATTGCACTATTTTTTGGCATTTCTTTTTCAAGAATGGTTAATCTCGCATGGCTTTTTTCTTAAAGCCATACATAATACTTTGTATTATTTTAGGTTAACTATTTACTCTTATATATAACTCTTACATATAACTGTTATATATAAATCACAATGATCATTAATTATGCTCGTGATTGCCAAAAGTTAGGTACCAAAATTGGGATTTCACATAGATTGTACTATTTTTTGGTTTTTTTTTTTTTCAAGATTGGTTAATGTCGCATGGTCTTTTTCTTAAGGCCACATGCTTTGAATTATTTCAGATCAACTATTTACTCTCACATATAATTCACAACCATCAATAGTTATGCTCTTGATTGCCAAAAGTTAGGTATTAGAATCGGCGTTTCACATAGAGTGTACCTTTTTTTGGTCTTTCTTTTTCAAGAATTGTTAATGTCACAACCATTATTAATTATGGTTACATAGAATACTTTATATTATTTTGGGTCAACTATTTACTCTTACATGTAAATCACAACCAGTATTAATTATGTTCGTGATTGCCAAAGATTGGCACTAGAATTGGAATTTCAAATAGATTGTGCTATTTTTTGGTATTTCTTTTTCAAGAATGGTTAATCTTGCATGGCTTTTTTCTTAAAGCCACCTAGAATACTTTGCATTATTTTGGGTCAACTATTTACTCTCGCATATAAATCACAACCATCATTAATTATGCTTTTGATTGCCAAAAGTTAGGTACCAGAAATGGGGTTTCACATATATTGTACCAAATTTTTGGTATTTCCTTTTTAGGAATGGTTAATGTCACATGGTCTTTTTCTTAAGGCCACATTGAATACTTTGTATTATCTTGGGTCAACTATCAACTATTTCCTCTCACATATAAAACACAACCATCATTAGTTATGCTTTTGATTCCCAAAAGTTAGGTAACAGAATTGGGGTTTCACATAGATTGTACCATT